TGCCAACCACAAGGACAAGGCCAAAGCTGACAACAGCCCAACCCAGCCCAACACACACACGCACACATTTTATGACCAGTTCAAGTCGAAGGCATCATCATCATCAGCATCAGCATCATCATCCTTGTGACGCCAAGACAGGAGCCGCACAGGCCCTGGCCAGGAGCAGGACTTAGGCCGCTGGCTGTTTGCCTGCGTCGCTGTGTTCTCCGATCTGTGGCCAGCGATAAGCCGCATTTTTATATCCTGAACCCATTGAAAGTGTGCAAAAAGGGTAGATTGTTTTTCAAATTTTAAATATATAGACATCAGAAATTTATAGATTTTTATAATATCGATAACTATCGATTTTGAGACAAGGATTTTATATGTGAAAAAGGGGTATAATGTTTTTGGAATTTGAAATATATAAGCCAAACGCAGCATAAATTTATCGATTTTTTTAATATCGATAAATATCGATAGTGAAAAAGCGAAAGTTATAAAAGCGACTTGCACAAAACTTGGCATTTAGGTTCTAGTATTGTGTATACACATAAAAAATATTTCACTTTTCGTATAGCTCCTCCCATGAACGAGATATTTAGAAAATAACTCAATTTTAAAGGTAGAGTCTTGGGATTTGGCTTGTACACACTTTTGTATGCCAAATTTAAGTTCTGCAAATTTGACAAAGATCAGACCAACAAATGCGAAGTTAAGCCAGGAAACATTTACCATATTTAGTCTGTGACAGAGGTAATAGAGAGAATTCTTGTAACAGCAGCTTCTCTTTGAAAAGAGGGTATCTCCTAGTCGCTCACTGCCGACAAGAGCACGCTTTTTTGTTGTTTGTTAAAGCGAGCGAATAAATTTCATAAATGCCCGCGCGACAGTAAAAGGATTACGAGGCCAAGTGCCTGCTAACCCCTACCTCATCCCCTTAATTTCTGAGCGTGTGTGCGTGCGTGTGTGTGTGTCAATATTTGGGCACATGTGCAGCAGGCTTGTAATTTATGGTTAAAAACTCAAGTAAATTTTATTTGCCACCCCCTCAAGAAATGGGCCCCCGTCGAAAAGCGAAAAATAGACCGAGAAGCGAGAGCCTGGGGGCTGCTGAAGATTTGATTCCCTCATAACTCATTAAATGTGCCCCTAGGCAAAGCTATGCAAATGATATATAGTTATCTTGAGGAAATATGAACATATTCTATTAATATTTACTAGAGGATATTACCCGGCGTTGCCTGGTTCAAATGAATAATGTTGAAAATGCAATGATAAAGTGTTATCTTAACCAAACATAAACAAATTCTATTAGTTTTTAATAGAGGAAGTTACCCGGCGTTGCTTGGTTCAAATGAATAATGTTGCAAATTCTTTGATATAGTGTTATCTTAACCAAAAATAGACAAAATTTATTATTATTTACTAGATGAAGTTAAACGGCGTTGCCAGATTCAAATGAAAAATGTGGGAAATGCAAATTGCTAATGAATTTGAACCAGCGACCTGTCTTGGAAACATAGGGCAAAATTTGTCGTAGGTAAATTCGAAGAATATATCATGGAAAATATGTTTTTTTCTTGACAAATCGTTTCTATTAGAGCTATATGATATTGTGAATATGTCCGACTGCCTGTCAATATATATAATATAAGCTACATCTGTCCCAATTATTCTCAGGATAGCAAATTTAGTTCACATAGGTACAGACAGTGGAGCATGGCTATGGCGACTTAGCTTAGCATTAAAAGAAAGAGAAGTTATGTTTTTGAGAAATTTTTGAAAGCGGCGGGTTCAATGCGTTGCAAATTCAGTAAACAACTTATAACACCCCTTTTGCAAGGGTATACTATTTTTTGCTTCGTAATCTATGATATCCCAGCACACAGACACACACGCACACATACTCGTGCAATGCACTTAATCATAAATACAAAATATGAGCAGGCGCCAGTTTCAATTCAAGCGAAAGTTGCCTTCAGTTCCGTTCAGTTCGGTCGCCAATGCGGTCACAGTGCGTATGCGTAATGTGAGGTGGAATGTTGCTGTTGTTGCTGCTGTTGTTGTTGTTGCTGTTGTTGTTGTTGGAGACGATGGACGTTGCCGATAAGCCAGGCGCGTAATGGATTTTTGTTTTGGCCCCACTGTTGGGCGTTTGTTGTTAGCTTTTATTTTTATTTTTACGTTTTTTTTGGTGCAGCAGCAATTGCTGCTGCTGCTGTTGACGATTTTGTAGCCCGCAGCAATGCGTCCCGCATGCCAAACTTGAGCGCTGCTGTTGTTGCTGCCTTTAACTTGGTCGCGATAGTCAAACAGCAAAAAAAACAAGCGGAAAAAAAAGTAAAGAAAATAAACAAAAAGTCGGCCGTCAAATGATTAATTACATGCCGAAAAGCTATCTAACAATTTGACTCGCTGTCTGTGTGTATTTTGGATTGTCATTAAGCCAGGGCAAAAGGAGCACAGCAACAACAGCAACAAACGAATAATAAAAAATTATGCCTCAGATAAAATGCCATTAGAGAGTGGCGCTCCAGTGTGCTCATGTGGGCAAAGCCAAAGGCAACTAAAGGGGGAGTGGCAGGCGGGCAGCTCACTTAGCGCCATTAGAAGACAAGCAGCCAGCAGCCGCAGCAGCAGCAGCAAAAGCAGCCAAGAGCAACCAACCAAAAAACGCTGCCAACAACAGCAACAACAACAATTGCTGAGGCCAGGCCAGGCGCTCGGGTACTGCAAGTATGCAATTCTGCCAGATAAGCCGAAGCATTCATGAATTTTACAGATAAAAACCACACACACACACACAGAGAGAGTGAGCGAGTGAGATACATAGCTTGTAGATGCGCTTACAGTACATTGCACAGCAGCAACAACAGCAAATGAAGAGCGCCAAAAGTGAGCAGCAGCAGCAGCAACAACAATCGCAAGGTTGCCTCGCTGGGCGGCCACGTCCCTATTTAGGGCTGGGCAATCAGCAATAGGAAGGCGGCACGACTAGCAGTTGCCCAGTGCCAGTGTTGCGAAACGAACAATGGCAACAATTATAAAATTCACAATAGCATCGAGTTGCACAAGTAAAAACAATCGATGATGATAACCGAAAAGCGCACTATCGTTTTGCTGTTATCGATAATAATAATATCGATCTTAATATATACTATCGATAACTTTGATGAAATATTTATTAAAATAGCTATCGACAGCAGAGAGGGGCGATACGTTGACTCATTTGATTTTGGCACTGATAATCCTAATCGTGGGCACATTGGGACAACTTTTAATTGCCAGTGTTGGTTAACCAATTGCAAATAAAGTTCTACGGGAGTAATTAATATTTAGACATGCAAATGAAGCATTGAAAGCTTTTCTAGGTTTATTTAACTGCTGATGATGTGAATAATCGAATTATTTGATTATGCCGGCATTTTACAACACTGTACAGAGCAAAGTGGTCGCTCTAGTTGTTATGCCCTTTCAGGTGTATTATTCAGGTTAGAATTCAAGCGCACACACAAAAGGCAAAAGCAGTTATCGGACAAGTGGACAGAGAGAGAGAGAGAGAGACAGTAAGCGAGAGAGAGTAACCGAGAAGGCTGAAAGGAATGTGACTCTGCGCTTTGCCACACTTTTTTGTGGTTATTGTTGTTGTTGTTGTTGTTGTTGTTGTTGTTGTTGCTGGTTGGTCTGCTGCGTTGCCATGGAGTGTCAACAGCTAGATAAAGATTAGCGCAGACAAACGCCCACTTTTGGCGCGCTGTTACGCCCACTGGGCCACTCATGCTGCCCCTGTGTGTGTGTGTGCGAGTGTGTCTGTGTGTGTGTGTGTGGCTGCTGCAAATCTTTCACTGACGCAGCACAAAAAGGCCACGTGGTAGGGCCCGAGGCGGGCGAAGGGGCAACACCAATGCCTGCCGGCTGGGGGATTATTAATGATGAATGCTTGAGAAGGCAGCGAAATGGCGTGGAATGTGGCAGCAATCCACCCCCTCTCCCTCACCCTCTCCCTTCCGCAAGTCAAACACCAGCAAAGGTCGCAGGTTGACCAGCGCCACACTCGAACATCATCATCATCACGAACAGGAGCAGGAGCAGGAGCAAGAACATCATTGAATGTGGTCGGGGTTCAGTTTAGGTTTAGGTTAGAGGGTTAGGGTTAGAGTTGGGTTGGGCTGGGGTGAACGTTGACATTGCTAATGATTATGAAGTGATATGAAATTGATGCCAATGATGATGCCAGCTAAGTCAAAACACGCACAACTTGACAGCACTTCAGCGCGGCGCGCGGCGGTTGCTTCATCATATCCTGTGTTGAGCCAAAAAAAAAAAGAAGAAATGTAACCAAAAGGGGTTGTCAACTCCCTGGCTGGGGTTGGGCTGACAGGATTCGAACCGGCAAAGGGTTCGAATCCACAGTTGAGGTGTCAAAAACGCAACCGCAGTCGCAGCTTGGCAGAGGGTCACAATCCCTGCCGAGTGGATTGTGACTTCAGCTTTTGGCTTTGGCTCGACCAATCAACGCTTTTGGCCTTGCAGCCACGCTGATAACAGAGCGAGCAAAAAAATGAATATATATCGAGAGAGAGTGAGAGAGAAAGAGGAGGGGGAGGAGGAGCAGGAGAAATTGGTATTAAATTAGAAGGATGGCTCGCGCTGTCACTGGATATGAGAGCAGATTAAATTTTTATTGGCAAAATATCAGCAGGCCAGCAGGCGACAACTGCGAGAGCCGCACACACACACACACACACACACACACACACACACACACACACACACAGAGACACACACGCACGAACACTCACACACACAATAAGCAATTTATGTTTGGCATTAACCGTTTTGGTGTCTGCCTCTGGGAAATGCGCTGCTGACTGCAAACTGATAACAGTTTTGGCTACTCGCAAAGGGTTAGAGGGGGAGAGGGGCCATGGGAGGGGAAGGCGGGCAGCTTGTGGCTTGGGAGTTGTGGGGCGTGGTTGGGCTTAGAGCTAGGTACAGTCAAGCGTCACACTCACCTCTGCTGTCGACGGTCATCTCTTCTGTGGTATCGGAACAATCACCTGCAATGCAAGGGAAAGAGAGAGAGAGAGCGAGAGAGTGAGTGAGTGAGAGAACAATTGCAATGCACTTAGAAATTAAATTGGTAGCTTAATCGTAAAAAATAGCCTTCTAAGGTCTACGAATTAAAGATTTAGTTGTCAAAATTAGAAAAAAAATTAAATTAAATTAAAAATAAGTAAATAAATTGAATTAAAACATTTTTTCATATTTTTCAGTATCCACACAAAACTTTATAAAGATTTCAGTCGAAGAAAAGAATATTTGCTTATTCTAGGCCTTTTTTCTTTCCTTTCTTTAATTTTCTACATTGTAATTGCTGAGTTTCTTTCCCATAGAAATCTCATTTTGTATTACCTATTATTTCTATAGATCTATAAGGTAAAGATGCTCGAAGTTGATAAGAAATGTTTTATATAAAAGAAGCACAGTTAAACTAAGAAATGCCGGGTAAGGTAAAGTTATCTTGAATAGGGAAAAGAATTTTTCATAAAATAACCTAATTTTAGATTGATAATGCCTATGGCAACTATATGATATATGGATTCAATCCGGCTGTTTGCGATTATTTTACTGATGAATCTAAGCAAAGTTTCAAGACGATAGTGTTAAGACTCCGAGACTAGTTTGCATGGCAACAGACAGAGGGGCAGACGGATAGACGGACATGCCTATATGGACTTGACTGTTGATGCTGATCAATCAATTAAGAATAGATATACTTTATGGGGTCTAAAATGTCCACTCTATGCGCTAAACAGCTCATGACAAACACAAAATGAACTCGATTCAGAAAATGGAAAATTGTAAAACTACATAGAACAAAATTTGCCACTCTTAACGAATAAGAGATAAATGAATCCGAGATAAATTCCTGAAAAGTTGAGCTACAAAATGTGGCAAATTTTCTGTGTATGATAATTTTGAAAATTTCATTATAACTCCGGATAAATGCTGCATACAAATTGAATGGCATTGAAATCAGGTTTCATATCAATGTGCCCAGATCTAAGAAATAGTTATAGCTATACTAACATAGTTAAAATAATTATTTTCTAAATTATTTTAACGTCTCCGATTGTAATTTCTCAAAAAAGTTGAGCCACAAATTTTAGCATCTTCTTCTTTTAACTATACAAATTTCAATCCAGCTCAAGCAAAGTTTTGCATGAGTTTGTTTTATCAATGTGCCCAGATCTAAGTCAAAGTTGTAGCTATACGATTTTGCTAAGTGCATCGTTTTAGCGGGAAACTAGCTAAAACTGTGATAACTGCAGGCGGAAGATATAAAATCGAATGTCGCTTTTTTTTTGTTCTTTCCCCATATACATGTTATTCATAATACAGAATAATTGCTTCAGGTGAAAACAATGTTTGCTCAATTGTTGTTGCTGTTGTTGTTGTTGTCGTAGTTGTTGTTGTTGTTGTAGTTGTTGTTGCTGCTGCTCATATCGCCATCGCATCTGTTAAGTACGCACAACACACAACGCGCGTCGTTTCAACGTAGTTCAGTAGTTGCCACAGTCGCAGTCGCAGCCAAGACGCAGACGAAGACCATGTCCAAGTCCAAGTCCAAGTCCGAGCCAGAGCTACACTCGTTGTTGTTGTTATTGTAGTTGTTGTTGTTGTAGTTGTTGCTGTTGTTGTTGTTGTTTTCTCGTTTTGATTATATTTTGCTGATATTCACTTCAAGGAATTATAATAACAATAATAACAACAATCCGCAGAATTCCTCGTCGTTTTTTTATTTCTCCTTCATTCGCCAGATTGTAGATATCACATCCACACATGTGTGTGTGTGTATCTGTGTGTGTGTGTGTGTGTCCAGGAATGAATGTGTAGCCACACAGCCGCAGATAGTCGACTGATAAGCAAAACCAAAAAGCTGCCTCAACTCGGACTCTTTGGGGGGAAAACACACACTCGCTTGAGTTGCGCTGTCTGTCGCTGGAGACTCGAGCAGAGAGGGAGAGAGAGAGAGAGAGAGAGAGAGAGAGAGAGAGAGAGAAGAGAGGGAGAGTGGGCAAGAGAGGGAGAGTGTTGCAAGCTTAGATCAACCGCTGCTCACCTTTTGCTGTTGTTGTTGAATGGCTGCTGATCATCGCGCTGCTAAATATCCAAAAAACAGCAGTGGAGAGGGGCGAGGGGGTGTGTAGATTGAGGGGGGGTTGTGTGTTAGCTCCAATTGTAAACTTATGTTTGCCCGGCACTTGCCACAATGTTGCACATGTTTAAGCTTTGGCTACACTCGCACAATTAACGCGACGCACGAATGATTGACGGATTGACTGACTGATTGAGCGTGTTTATTTTCTATTTGTGATTGACGTGCACGGCGAGCTCGTTGCTGTTCGCTTCGCGTTCTAGAGCTAACTGAGCGCAGGCCAAGCGGCTGACTAATGAAATTTTCTGTCTGCGCGCTGAGTGTCTCTCCCTCTCTCTCTCGCTCGCTCTCGCCGCTGTCGTCTGTCTGTGTATCTGTGAGATACAAAACAGAGATACCGAGCCCAGCCGAATGACGCTGACGACGTCGCAGCAGCGACGCCCGCGTCTCAGTCGCCGCGCGCACAGCTGATGTTTGTTGATGACTTCGCCAGCCCGCCAACCCGCTCGCCCCGCTCGACCCGCTCGCCTTGGCTACGTCTCTCTGGTTAAAGTTGTTTATCTTTCATTTGCCAGTCTGCCAGTTGCGTCTATCTGCAGCCCTATCTACAGCTCGTCCGTCCGCCCGTCCGTCCGCCCGCCTGCTCGTCTGTCCGCCTGCCTAGCCAGGCAGTCCTATTCGAAGTCGCAGTCGTCTCTTGGATTCGTATCTGTATCCGACACACACACACAGATACACACACACACAGACACGGTCGCCGGTTGAGTGGCAACTGAAATAAGATATCTGCTCGCGCGCTGCTCTCGTTGCTGCCGCTGCCGCTGCTGCTGCTGCCGCTGCTTCCTTCGCCCAGCCGCAACGAACGTCGTTCGAAATTATTCGAAACAAAAACTGATAAAGCACTGATAAGAGCGCAGCGCGGCGCGCAGTTAGATAACATCGAGCGAAGCAGCCAACCAGTTGGCGAGGCCAGCCGGCAAAGGCAGCCGAGTCAGCCAACCAGCAGCAAAACGGATACACACCAACACACACACATACACACACACACACGCATAAACACACCAATATACACACACACACAGTTGCAATTTTGAGCGCTGTGCGCTGTGCACTTACAGATACAGATACAAAGATACATTCAACAAAAGCGAACGCTGCTGCTGCTGCTGTTGTGCGTGTGTGTGTGTGTGTGTGTGTGCGTGTGTGTGTGTGCTGGTAGATGCTTTTGTGCGATATCGCGTCGCACGGCTAATGGAATTCTGATTATTGCTTAGTGATAAGCGTTTTGTGTTTAATTGTATCTGTGTATCTGTATCTGTTTTTTTCCACATTTTTTTTTCGGGCACATACACTGCAAGAAACGCTTGACAAGCTTTATCTGTTTTTTATTGTTTTTATTTGTGTTTTATTTATTTAAAATTTGTTTTTTTTTTCGGTATTTTATAGCAAATACACTGCAAGAAATGCTTGTCAACTCGTATATGTTTTTTGTTAACCCTTTTTTTGGCATAAACACTGCAAGAAATGCTTGACAAGCTTTATCTGGCTTTTATTGTTTTTATTTTAATTTTTTTTTTGCACTTTTTTATATTATTTTAGCTCACATACACTGTAAGAAATGCTTGCCAAACTAATCTCTGTGTAATATTTATTTTTTTGTAGTTTTTTTTTATTTACTTGTATTTTTTTATATTTTTGAAAGAAGAAACGCTTGCTAAACTTTTTATATATTTTTTTTTAAATTTGTCTTGTTTTTATATTTATTTTTATATTTAAATTTGTCTTATTTATATTTATTTTTGCGCTCACATACACTGCAAGAAACGCTTGACAACTTCTGCAGCCGCTGCTGCTGTTATCGCAACCCTTTTGGCCTCCCAGCGCGCTCATTTCCTGGCACAACACCTGCCCCCACTCTCCACTTGCCCCCACACACACCCCCCCCTCGCAATTTCCTCATTTTCCTCTGCGCCCCGCCGCGGGCTTTGTCGCTCTTCAGTATTCATTGTGTTTATCAGCGAGCGTTGATCTGTTTTAATGTTGCTTTGGCTGCGAGCTGTGGGCAACACTCCCTTGCCCAGCCCCCCTTTCCATACCTCGCTCTCCCACTCTCTCACTCTCACTCTCTCTCTCTCTCTCTCTAGTTGGTATCTCCTGCTTTTATCTGCATTTTGGTTTATTTCATTTCCTTGGCAGCTTTTCCAGATGCAAAACGTTTGCCAGATTTTATCTGTCTGCACACACACACACACACACACACACACACACACACACACACACACACACACACACACACACACGCACTCCCACTCTCTCTCTCTTTGCTCTCTGCTCTCTGCTCTCAGTCAGCTGTTAGCTGCGTCGCTGCCTGCGTTGACTGCGCTCGCATGTTGCGCCTGCGTCGTAGCCAAGCGTTAAAACCACCAGCAAACTACCCCGCACCCCTCGTCTAGCCAACCCTTCTGGCCTTGCCATTGTTGTTGTTGTTGTTGTTGTTGTTGCTTTTCGACTGCCTTTTACGACGATTATCTCGTTTGCCATTGTTGACTTTTAATTAGATTCATTAAACGTGCCGCTTGCCGTCGCCGTCTACGTCGCTGACACCCTGCTTCCCCCCTGCAACCCTAATACCCTTTCGGCTCATGGGCCCTGCTAGCAAAGACAGAAATCCTCGCATACCCTTACAGAGTCCTTAACACTCAACTAACGCTTTTGGCGCCAACGCAAATAAAGTCTAGAAATTTAATTGCGTCTTGATTTGATTTTAAAGATAGTAAATTATTTGTTTTAACTAGACAGGTCCTCTAATTGGGATCGTGAATAAGTACATGTAGAAAAAAAGGGTTAATGTTCCAAAAAATACTTTTTCTAAAATTTAGAAATTTGATAATATATATA